CTCACAGGCCATGCTTTTGAAGACCATTATGTCAGTGCTTCCTAGTGACACATAGAGACCAGTGACCTGCACAGCCATCTGGGAGTGCACCAAGACAGAGGTTTCCTGCAGAACCGTGGAAACAGAAGTGCTACTTAAAGGAAAGAAAGATTTCCTAGTAGAGGGAAACACTCTACATCAGCAAAAATCCTTTACAAACATAATGGAAATACTGAGAAGTACCTCAGGATAACAATATGGATATATTTAAGTTTGTTTTCCAATTGCGGGGGGGAGGGGGAAGCAAAATACTTCAGAATTTGGGGTTAGTGACTGCTAAAAGACACTGTTTGTTTCTTTGTTTGAACATACACTATATCCCTACATGAGATGGTCAGGGCATACCAATAGCAGGTCACAACACAAGAGGAGTCTTCATTCCTACAGATCCCACAAAGCAGTTTCCAGCAGTGTCTAACACTCATGCCTCCCTCTCCTAAATAGATCGAGCAGGAATCTATCAACATGGAGTTAAGAGCTCAACTTTAGATTTCCCATTTACCTGCTGAAAGTAAAGAGTTAACAGAAACCTGCATTTATTTGGGATTTTCTATGTGCACACAAACACATCAATCCAAGCAAAATGCTACTACCACATTTTAGAAATGTGAATACTGCTGAGTTGAAGAAAATGGGCACAGTTCCCTTTTTAGAAGGAACAAATTGTTCAGAACAAGGATAAATGCAATAGAGAAATCAGGCACCAACTCTGTTTCTGCAGTTTCAAGCTGCTGGTACATGGATACAGTCTTTACACAACTATTTTTTTTTAATAGAGCCAACGTTGTTCAAGGATCCCCCCACAACTCTCTAATGTTCTCAAGAGCAAATATTTACTGTGAGGATTTTTATATTTTCAGATATGTGAGAAATTAGAGAGTACTACAATCTTCTGTCTTCTGGTGGCTACAGACAGGAGAACACCTCTTGCTCAAAAGGCTGGAGTAATTGCAATGGCGCAGACACTCGCTGCACTTGAGTGTATTTTAGATAGAAAACATGGAATTAGCTGCAAACTATGTTAAAACATTTCCTTTAGAGTGAAAGCACTTTCTGTAATTATGCCATGGAAAGTGGGATTACAGAGAAGAGCAGAGCCCAAACCTATCATCACAGAGGCTGAACTTGCCTCTACATCTGCAGCCAACCACATGCAGAACCTGATCCTGAAACCAGCCATTTCAAAGTCCTCAGCAGCCAAGAGACATACAGAAATCCAAAATATGCCGTTACCCTTTTGTGAGAGTTAGAGATTTCTTCAATCTTTGCTGGGGTTTAATTAGACTCATTACTGCAGGTTTATCCGAGTTAATACCTTTTCTCCACAGGACACACTGCACCATGAACTTCGAGGGAGATGCAAGAATAAAAAGGCTAATGTTACTTCTCTTAATCTTCTTCCTCATATGCAAAAATGAACTGACAGCCCCACAGCAATTTCAGGCTACCTGATTCTCACATCTAAAGATTACTTGTCTCAGGATGGAATAATCTCATGTCTCCAGAGGACTAGCAGGGAGACCAAATGAGCCAGAAAAGCTTTTTCAAGCCTACATTTACTTTTCAGGTATTTGTGTAAATAGCTATAAAGAAAGAACAATTAAAAAAATGATTATTTTTTCAAGTGGCAGTTGTCCCCTCTCTCAGTTAATCAAGTTCAGTAGCCATTATAATAAAGCTTGAATCTCCAGTGTTGGAGAAGATAGAATTTAAAACTTCTTCCACCATCAGAAAGCAACAGGACCGCAGAGCATGAACACCCTTTACGGGATTTCTTGAGGTCAATAATTCAGGTTATACAAGGTTGTGTAACCACGTTTTTAATTAAGGGTGTTATTTTAGGTAAATATTCCCATGCTGCAACCACGACTGTCAGGAAAACACCACATGTTAGCCCCTGGAAGCTTAAGAGATGGCACCATGAAGAACTTCTCACTAATTAGACATGAATCTGGCTTCCTTTAGAACCTTGTTAGATAAAAAGCCTTGACTGATCTATCCTCCATTTCTCTGAGTTCAGGCAATGAAATTTAAATCACAGAGAAGTGCTAATGATAATTTTTCAAGTCAGCTTTTCATTACTGAAAGTACTCTTTGCAACATAGCAAACCCCAAATCTCTTTTCTAATCCTGGCAATCCCTTTCAGTTGTTCTTTGATTGGCCGTAGATCTGAACGCTGGCGTTCATGTCTCAGTTCATGATCTACATCCTGAACATGGATCCGGGATTTTTCTGGAGGATAGATTTTTCTAGATCTCCCGTCACTTTTGTATTTATGGATGAATGGGTATTTATAGCAAAAGAATGACCACTGAAAAGACAGGAGGGTTTGACAAGTTCCTGTGCCTTAAGTTTCATCTGTCTCAGGGAAGAGCGCGCATAGGTGGGGTGATCTACTAACCAGATACACATTATTCTACTCAGCATCTTTAATAACCTGTTTCCTATTGGCATCACATCTTCTTCAGCTAAGTCTCCCTTTATACCCATTTCTCAGATTCATTTGTAGTCTGGGGCTATCCAAGCTCTTAAAGGTTACTGCTGAACATCACTAGACAGAAGAAGAGCAGAGGAGGAAGGGGAGATGGGGTGATTGCACTGGAGCAAGGAGAGGCTTAGGTAGATGGAAAACAAGAAGGGAGAAAGTGGATGGGAATAAGGACATCAGCAGTTCCCCTTGAGCTGGTGCTATCTCAGTGGCAACATCCCACTGAGTAGTGAAACATTCCATATAACCCCATACATCTTTGTCAGGGCTGGAAGACATGCCCTGTGAGGAGCAGTTAAGGTTTTGGATTTGTCTGGTTTGAAGAAAACGGGTGAACTCATTGCTCCTTGCAGCTTCCTGAGGAGTGGAAGTGGAGAGGGAGGTGCTGATCTCTTTATCCTGGGATTCAGTGATAGGACATGTGGGAATGGTTCAAAGCTGCACCAAGGGAGATTCAGACTGAACAGAAGGAAGCATTTCTTTACCAAGAGAGTGGTAAAACACTGCAGCAAACTTCTTAGAGAGGCAGGCAATAGCCCAAGCCTGTAAATATTCAAGACATAGTTGGACAAGATGATCTTTTTAGGTTCCTTCCAACTAAAACTATCCTAACTACTTGATTACTCTGGAGAGGGATCCCATCCTTCCACAGCCAGGTAAGGGGGTGATCCACCCTGCCAAAGCAATGAAAGCTCCTATTTTTGGATATGAGGGGTTCTGTCCAAAATACTCCAGAAAGCACATGCAAATGATTGCTACTGTGGGATGCAAGACTCTCACACACAGATTAATTTTCTGCACTGTTCCCAGCAAATTGGCATCAAGGCTCAGCACCAGCCTACAGGATGGTAGTTCCTTGACAATTCTTTTTTGCAAACAACAGCCTGGATTTATATGAAGAAATACTCCCACTTTAAATGCACACACACTGCCCTTAGAGTAACTGGCTTTTTGCTTAATCAAAAAAGCAGAGTTTCAGTACCTTCATTGCAGAGGAGAAGTAGAACAGCGCAGCAGTGGGTTGGGCTGCCAGGGTCCTGCATGAAGTCCCTCCCTCCATGGACAGCATCTTTAGCAGGACAGACTTCTGTACACTTTGGCATCTCTAACACCTTTTTTCTTTTTTCCCTTTAAATTCAGCCTGCAGCATACACGCTTTTGAGAAACCATGTGCAAGCTCATCTTTTTTCATGCCAGCATAGCTTTTCCTCCACTTCCTCTTCTCTCTTTCCTTTTCTCATTACTCTTTTCAAGGTCTAAAGGAAAACACTATTCAGATACTTAAAGGTTACAGTTAACTTGTAGTTCAGCAGAACCTAAAAGAAAGCATTTCTGCTAAAAGGAAAGAATATAAACAAGGTATCCTGTGATGTTTAAAAGGACAGAAGCAGATTTCCGTTAGACTTTACTGAAGATTTTCTCCTCTGTTTGTACAAGTATTCCCTAATTATCTCAGGAAACTAATAGCTAGGTTAGTTTAAATAGGTTTTAAATAGGTTTAAATTTTGCCTTAAGTATATTAGGGAAGAGTGCACACCTCTGCAGGGTAGCAAGAGGCAGTTACTCCAGGCGAGGCGAGATGACAAGTAGCAATTGAGTCTCAAGCTGTTCACAACCTAAATATCCATCCTCAGCTCAAAGCAACAAAGCTCCCTAATTATTTTTATCTATGCAAGGCGAAATCAAATGACATTATAACACAAATCTCACTAATACCTTATGCAGGGACAATGTTTAATAGCACAGATTAGTTATGAAACTACTGTAATAGCAACAGACTTCAATGTGGTCTTGACTGTTTAAATCCTGACAATGATTTTAAGGGACAAGTTTATCCTTGTTGTGCCCTAATTATTTCAACATATTAGCATCTGAGGAATATTTGACTCACCTCACCCTGCCCCCCCCTTTAAATTCACAGTTTATGCACAGACCAACCAGAATTACATGGCAAACATGACAGATCACTTCTTTCCTACTCTAAGAGAGCCATTAAAACTAAAATGAGAATTTAGTTAGTTATTGACAGAATCACTCTGGGGGGGAGCAGGAAGCTAAATGGCTTGCTACAAAATGAAATTGTGGAAACTAGAGAGTCAATCAAAACACTGCCTTAGGTCATCTCATCTGTCCTCCAGCCAAAGCAGGGCTGTTGCTGAGCATCTCTGCCCCAAGAGTTCTCCAACCGAGATGATGTTTTTGGTGTCAGAAACCTATTCATAATACAGGTGATGATTTTACTGTCTCCTAAATCTTCTGTTACAAAGTTTGACAAACATCCATACAAGCATCAATATCTAAACAGCTTTGTCACTGCAAGGTATGCCCATCTTGTGCTACTTTCCACACTCCTGTCATGCCAGCCACATAGTTGCAATGAATTTCTTGAATTTTCACACTGCCTGGGTGGTTATTTGACAATATGCATGAACTAGCTCCTAGCACATTCCCCACTCCTCTTTCTGTACTCACCAAGAACAAGGTTTGCACTCAAACTGCTGATCCTGTCCTAAAAAAAAGATAATATGCTTTAAAATTAGAAAAGGAATTGATCTAGTTCCCAGGTACTATAATCTCTTTGTTGGCTACATTTTATGTAACCATAAGAAAATGCCAACAAATCTATCACTCCCACAAAAAATCAGCTGCAGATACACCCATCTGGGACACACCACAAAACTTAGAGCAAGCACCTCAATTTGGCAGTTGATGGATGCCATCTTGGCCATCCCACTGAGGACAAAACAAGAGCAGCTCCAGAGCTGAAACCAAGAGCTCTCTACAGCTTCAATCAGAGAGCCACAACACTGCAGCTCAAGCAGTGAGCAATACCGACCACCTGTAGCTGGGGCTGGGAAGACAGGAAGCACACAGCATAGATCTGCCAACAGAGGAAAGCTCTCTCACAGTAAGGTGACAAACAGAGGTCGTTTGCTTGCAGACACCCTTCTCCCACTGCCCCATTCTCACCTTCCCTCCCCATGCCTGTTTGGCACTGTTCAGTTCCTCCCCGAAGAGCCACCTTCAGCCATCCACCTCTTGCTTCAGGAACTTCAGCTGCCTTGCCACATCCCAACTCCAGGCTACAGAAATCACTGTCCTCTCATAGCTCACCTCTGGAGCAAAGAAAAAAATTAAGCTTAAAAGTCAGCAAATCTGGCCCAGCTCTGGCTCTTCCCAGTTCCCCTCATCTCATCAGTCTTTGGGTCCCTCTGTACATGAGGTTGGGTGACACCCAACACCCCAGAGCAGCTTAAATCTCTTTCTGCAACAGTTTTGGGCAATTTAATGCAGTGCATGGCAAATATGTGATGCTGATAAAACCAATGTGCAAAGATGCAACTTCTGGCTTTACTAAGAAGTCAATCGTTGGCATCATACTCAGTTTCATTAAGAACAGGACTATAATATAAGAAAACTCTACAGAGTATGACCATGAGACCACCTTGCCCTGAATCTCCCTTTAGAAACTGGACACTAGTAAGAAATTAGGGAAAAAGACTTGAGGAAATATTTAGTGCTGTCTTTCTGGGATATTCTCTTCAATTTCAGTAACTGGCATCTTGAGGATTTCTTGAATCACAGTAAACACGTTCATTGCATTTAGGTCTTTGCAGGACAAGAAAAGGGCCCTTAGCTCACCTCTACTTTTTCACAGCAATCATTTATCTAGAGAGTGATTTTCAGCTTTTGGTCTCTTTTTATGTGCTATATTTCAGTTGCTGCAAGGCAAAGTTTCACCTGAATAATAGTGTAGATTTCTGAGGTACATTTTTAATCCACCTCGTGTTATAGTATAATAGAACTTTAAAATGCTAGCACACATTGTCACAAATCTTTCTAAATCCAACAAATGTAATAATTTTTGAAAAAAAAAACACCCCAAATGAGCAAAACAGCAATACATATTTGTAAAGACACATACACATGGAAAGATGAAAACAGAATATAAGATTGTATTACTTAAATACAAAATTCCTGGCCATGGGTTCCTTGCTTGTTCTCATCAATTTCTGTATCAGTATTTCCCAGAACAATTCCCAGTCTACACTTTCAAGTTATCGCTTCATATCCAGTGCCTTCTATCCCAGGCTAACAAAATCACTGCTATAAAACTGCTCCTTTTACAGCCAAGATGGGAAACCCTCTATTAGATTATCCGTTCCCTCCCTTGTAAAATAAAGAGGAAAACACCATTCCAGGAAATAAAAATGTTTAAAAAAGACCAACCAAAGGCAACGCCTGCATGCGCTGTTGTTCTTCCCCTTTGAGTCAATAATAAAGAGGAAGGAAAGAAAAAACACAGATAAAATAAATGCAGGGAGGAGATGTGGATGCAGCATGTTTATCTCACTTAAGGAGGGAAAGCTGTAAAATGCCACCCATTGCATAGGGACACCCCAACACTGCCTCAGTGTTTACAAACACTTCAAGCAAATCAAACAGGGAGTTTCATTGTCCCCACTGCACTCATGTCACCCTCTCCCCAGCACTGCGATTCCAGGGAGAGCCCTGCCAGAGGACACACAGTGCCAGTTACACAAGAGAAGCGCAGAAGCAAATATGCAGCGGGGGGGGGAAATTAAAAATATCAGCTCAGCTGCACACTCTCTTCCTACTCTCAGAACAGCCTCCAAGTGGGCTTTGGGGTGGATTAACTTTAAAGGGCACTGAGAAACGCTGACAGATTTGAGGCCAGCAGGACCCCTCTGTGTGCATACATTTCCCTGCCACCACTGCAAAATGGGATATCTGGGGTCCACCAGCAACTGCAGGAGTAATGTAGTAATAAAAGGGGATAAAACCTTCTGACGTTACGTATTAACAAAAAAATATCCAGTATATTACTCTAATATCTGAGCATTGTTCAAGTAAAGATCTGAACTACACCTCACAAACAGCAAGGAACAAGGAAAAAAACAAAAAGGCACAGTAAAACAAAGCTCTGCTGGACTACAGACTTTCTACAAAGTTTAAAATACAGGCATTTCTTGTATATATGATAAAAGTGAAAAAGGTCAGAGTAGTAGTTTGGAAGTTGAAATATACCATCAGGCTGTCCAATTGACAATTTTTAAGACACAAACTCATTATGTGACTTGGAAAAGAAAGCTGGACAGTTGCAAACAGCCAGGATTGAGAGCCAGTTGGATTCAAATCTCCCCCATTTCCCTGAAAGAGGGGAGGCATAGAGGTGTCAAAACACTGAAGCCACACGATAGCACACACCAGCGCCCCCCAAACCATCCTAAAATGCACCCCGTACTTATTTTATCCCCAGGAGCCCCGGGTTTCTCAGACTTAGCAAGGCTTAGCGATAGCAATTCAAAATCCATCTTATTTTCCGCTGTTATCCAGTGCAGGAGACAAATAAGACAGGGTTCCCCGCCGGTGCCCCCGGTTCGGGACCGCGACGCTTCGGGGTGCCCGGAGCATTCCGGAGTTGCGGGAGTTTCCCGGGGGCTGCCACCGGGCCCGAAAGGCGGCGAGGGGCACTCATCTCCCATGGATGACCCTATTTAGGGGGCTAGGGTTCTTTCCCCTTCCTTCTCCCCCGTTCCTCCTTTTCCAGCAGAGCCAGGGACAGACAGCGCAGCCCCGCTCGGCAGCGCTGCTCCCCGCTGGGGAACACACAGTGCGAGGAAGCGCATACGGAGACAGGGGCCTGGCGGGGAGGGGGTAAAAGGAGAAGGAAAAACACACACAAAAAAGAGAAGAGGAGCGCAGAACTAACCTGGTTTGGGATTTTTCCTCCCTATCCACAAACATGAAACGAGGTGGGAGCCAGGAGCCGGTCACCGGCGACGGGAGAAGCGGCAGCCCGGGGCCGCCCCGCGGCGGGGATAGCGGGGCTGGGCGCGCTGCAGTCCCCGCACTCCCGTGGTAGGTGCTGCCCCCAGGGATGGGCGCACGGCAGCCCGCTCCCTCTGGGATAGGTGCTAGCCACCCACCCGGCGCAGGGCAGCTCTCCGGGAAGGGCGCAGCGGGCTTAGGCGCAAGGCAGTCCCGCTCGGGAATGGGTGCTCACTCCCCGAGCAGCGCAGCCCCTCGGGATGGTGCCGAGCCACCCTCGGGCCAGGATCCCCAGGATAGGAGCAGCGGGGCTCGGCTCAAATCAGCCCTCTCCGGGGATAAGGGCAGGGCCGCCCACGGTGCTGTGCAGGGCAGCCCCCCCCGAGCGGTGCAAGAGCAGGGCAGCGCGCCCCGGGCGGTTGCAGGAGTTAAAGAAGCAGGGCGGCCCCGGTCGTAATGTAGACGGGAGCGGGGTCCTCCCCGCCGTGTCCAGCGGAGACGGCACCAGGCGGGACATGAGACGGGCGGCGCGCGGCGCGGGCCCCCCGCTGCCCCGCTGGGCCGATGACATCACCCCAGAGCCCGCGGGGCGAGCGGCCAATCGGCCGCCATGCCGCCTAAAAGCCCATTGGCTGGCGCCCATCGGGGCGCGGGACTTTCTGGGGTTTGTAGTTTATCTGGGGGTCCATAGCACAGCCAGCCTACAGTTCGGGGACTCAATTCCCGCAGGCCCCGCGCCGCGCGGCCGCGCGTGGGGAGCGCGGAAGGGTGGGGAAGGAGGCTGTGGCGGCCGCCGATGTTGATGGCGGTGGACGCTTTTGGCTCGGGAGGGCGGCCGGGAGCCGGGTAAGATGTCGGAAAAGGCGTGGAGGGCGGATGCGCTAGCTCTTGAGTTTGGGGGCAAGCAGAGAGCTTAGTTGCGAGGGGTGAGAAGAAGGGGAGGCTGCGGTTGAAGGCCTGAGCAGGGGCCGGAGGGGCGCGGTGGTGGGCCCTGAAGGACATGGTGGATGTCTCTCCGTGCCCGCCGGTTCTGGAGTGGGCAGCGCCTCTCTCCATGGCGGGAGAGAGGGCGGGGTTAGGGGGTCTGTTCCTGGGATCGGCGAGCCCGTGCACGCCCGGTAAGCGGGCCCTTTGTGCGGGCGGCTGCGATGGGTGTGCACCGGTTGGAGCGGGGCGCGGGTTCGCGGTAGGCTGCTGCGGGTCACGGCCGGGGGCGGTGCTGGGCGGGCAGGGGGAGGTTGCTCTGTGTGGCGCAGGAGCCGGGGCGGCTCCGGTGGCTCTCGGGGTTGTGCCCCTTGAGCTGTCCGGGGAGAGGGGTACGTGCGGGGCTGTAGCAGCCGCGGCACTTGGCTGTGGGACCAAGTACGGGCTGGGGGTTAAAGAGTAGCGCTGGCCTTGGTGGGAGAGGTCGTCAAAAGGGAGTAGGCTGGGTCATGCCCTTGTCGCATACCAGGTGACAGGCTGTGTTGGCTGTTCTGAGGCTTTTTTTCAGGGTTGTAGCTTCTGTCTGATAATTGCACTAGTGGTGCTTGGTTGTCATAGACATAGGGCTTAGTGTGACCAGCAGGAGGAGCTTTGCTTCCTCCTAGAGGCAGCTGCCCTCAGTATGTCTGGAAAAGAATAGGATTAGATTAGATATAAGGAAGACATTTTTTATTTCGAGGATGGTGATGCACAGAAACGGGCTGCCTGGAGAAGTTGTGGCTTCCTCATCCCAAAGCCAGGTTGGATGGGGCTCTGAGCAACCTGGTCTAGTGGAAGGTATCGCTGCCCACGGCAGGGGGGTTGCAACTAGGTGGTCCTTAACGTCCCTTCCAACCCAGACCTATGACTCTGTGTCCATAGAGTCATATATCAGCCTTGAAAAAGCTGAGAGAATGGATGAGATGTTGTAAGGCATCTCAGCAGTTCACCTAACTTGCTTGCCCATTATCTTAGCTGTGCTTGCTGTCTGATGTTGGTGTGGCTTAGGCAGATGACTGGGTGCTGTCTTAGTTTCAGCATACCTCTGGCTGGCATCTAGGAGGTAGGCTAGAATTTTGACCAGCGGGTTTTAGACTTTATTGTACTGCTTTTGCTAGGCTTTTGTGTTGGGGATTGGGAAATGATCTGCTCACCAAAAGAGAGAGTAATCAAAGCTCTCTTAGGCTTAAGGGGACTGAAGTTCCCTGAAACAATGTATAGAAGACTTTTAATGTAAACTCGAAGGGAGGATGCTCAAGGTATTGCATGGCTTGTGAAATAATACCCTTTCTGGCTACAAGTGATTCCTGTGAAATAAAGCACTTTATTATCTCAAGAAGGTACGCAATTGAAAGGAGCTGTGAAGAGTTTTACAGGCTTGCTTGATGTGTTAGCTAAAGTCCAGTAGTGGTACAGCTCAGGACAAATGGGGCTGTGGGGTTTATTTCATGCTTTGGCTCCTCTTGGAGGTAAGTAGGATGTATTTGCTCAGGATATTGCCTCACAATAACTACACAGATAGTGTGTTTGCCCCAGGAGACACTCAAGGGGGGAAGGGAGGATGTCATGAGATGTTCTGTGATGCATTTGCTTCACCTGAACATTGCAACCTTTCAAAATCTGCTGGTATTACAGCAATGTGTGCCATTCTTCTGTGGCTTTATATGCAGCTCTCTTCAGCTAAAGAATCAGAACCAGTTGCTTGCCATCCTGTAAAAAGTCTAGTGTCCTGTAAGTGCTTCTCCTCATGTCCCAGTTGTCCCATTTTGCCATATTCATGAGTAAAGAAAAAGAGAGGGTGGAATGCTCTCTTGCTACTGTACCTTTCATTAATAGTTCCATACATCTGAAGAATTCTGGATTACAAGTACAGCCCTTTTTATTTCTTTTCTACTTCTTTTTTCTTTCTTTGCAGATACCTTTAGATTAGGTGAACTGTGGGTGAAATAAAGGGGCAGTGGCATGATGACTTCACAGTTACAACAGTGTTCCACAGTAGACTTTAGCCCTATGCTTTTATCTGCACAGCTGATACCTGGTACTGATGGTAAGTATTGCAGTGGAATTCTAGGGTAGGCTCGATTGTGTTTTCTATAACTGGCAGCAGAAGTGTATGTGAAATCTGCAACCAGGATGATCTGCTGGTCTAATGACAGTTTGTTTTCTTACTTAAACTGGTTTAGAAACAATTGGTTTTAAACCACCTGCAGTGGTTTCCCTCTCTCCCTCCCCATCCCACTGGAGTCAGTGCTGCTGCTCTGAGAAGTGCACCTCACTTTGCAGATAGTTTTTCTTCATTGTTTTTACCATTGTTTATACCTTATTTCTTTACGTGTAGATGCCCTGATGTCTCAGCAGAGAGTTGCTATAGCATATCAAAATGTAGGAAACAGGAAATGACTTCAGAAACAACCCAAGTGAATGCCTGATACAAGAGACAAGTAAAACAGTTTTCTCTGTGTGTGTGGTTCACTTCAATCAGTTTGGGGGTGTCTGATACTTGTCAATGTATGGATTTTACTCATTGATGACAACTTGTTAGAACTGTTAATGACAAAACCTGTTTTCTATGTGTCAAACTTGGATAGTATGTCCACCTGAAAGCGCTAATGCACAAGTCTCTCCTGACCGAACAGATCTTAGTTGCAAGATCCACAAGAAGCTTACAGTCCTACTGCAGAAATAAACATTTTCTTGGCGTTTCATATAAAAATATGCAAGGTGGTGATAGAATTGAAAGCCTGCCTTCGGCTTTTCTTAAACACAAAGGTATGCTCTACTTTAATGCTGTTAGTGGAAACTTACTCTGGTGTGTGTCTGGTCCTCAGCCTATGAAGCTGATATGTTTGTCTGTACTTGAACTACTATGCTGACATCCTACACTGCAAAAACTATAGATTTTCTTTGCTGCTGAAGTGATTTTTGTCACTGTGGACTCAGGTAAGCAACCACCCAGTTTCCTGAAGACCTGGAGAAAGAGTTGGAAGATCCTACAGGAGATGTGAGGAAGAGAAGGATAAGTAGGAATGTGTGATGACTTAAAGAAGAAATTGCTAAATCAAAGTTTAATTTAAGTTCATATGTAGAAACCTGTCTTTGTGTCTCAGCTTTCATTCTGACAAGTTTCCTCTAAATGAAAGCGTCAAGGATTTGGATGCTCTACATTGAGCAGTCACTGGATACTGTACTACGCCAGCTCTGCAGTCTGCATGAGATACACAGATTTCGAGATGAAGTGTACAAATAGATTATTATGTAATTTTTAAGGTGTCTGGTGTTGTAATGCCACAGTGTCAACATCCATGGCAGCACAGCACAGAGAACTGTCAGGGGTTGTCTTGGTTCTTGCAAACTCACTGTCAGGCCTAACATAATTCGTGGTATGCACATTAGCATTAGTGGAATATAGTTTGTAAGGATTATTGATACCTTACAAGAGTACCTCTATGCTACTCTTGGAATGTGAGTTGTGTTTTAAAATCCAATTTTCTTAACTATCCCAGCTGTATAACTTGGTTGTCTACAGTCCCAACTGCTTATTTCAAAGCCTCTGGTGGAAGGGTGTTAACTCTTTCACATCAAAGTTACTGCTCAGATGATGGAGGATGAAGAAGCTGCAATGAAGTTTGGTTGGTTGGTTGGTTGCAATTGTCTCCCATGGAGCTGTTTCCTAAAAAGTTACGGAGCTGCAAAGTGAAAGGTGAGAGGGTGAATTTAGCTGGGTAGAATAGGTAAGTATTTCTATATCATGTTACTGTTTCCAAGTATATTAATCATAGCACAGAAGAATGCATTGTGTTGTCTTGGTTCTTTGACAGGGAGAGCTTGGAAAAACAGGAAGGAGTGGAAGGCTTCTGTGCCTTTTTTAAATGTTTTCAATGAAATTGTGGGGAGGAAGCTGTTAAACCAGTATCTGGAAGAGCCTAGTATTCCTGCATAGCAAAAGGAGTCTGTAAAGCTGCTCTGGAAATAATTCTAGTGACTAATTATGAAGTGTAACCTTTCTTTTTTTTGTGTCTTTCAGCACAAGAAGAGTGCTCTAAGAGCAGTCAAGAACCTTTTCAGTTAGCATGAACATGTTCTTCAACCAAAACGTGGCAGCAGTTCAATAGGAGTTACACAACAGGAAAGGGTGTGCAGGCTACTGCAAGTCCCTGGGTTCATAAGATCTGGTATCTGAAAGAACTCACTAGAGAGAAGAATGTGGTTTTTTCCACAACTTCTGTCTTGAGTTGAAAAGAGAGCTAATACTGCAACAGGAAATTGATTTTATGTAGATACTGGAGATGGTCATCACAATATGCAGGACTTCAAAATGTTAGGACACTGAAAAACTGCAGGTAGTTTGAGTAAAAGAGGCTCCAGGGCTCCAGTTGTGGGAAGTTCCCTCTTCAGAAGGCACACTAACAGTGGGGTAAACTTGCTAAACACAAGGAGACTCAAAACAGTCTGTGGCTGTCTCTTAGCTACACATGGATATATCTCTTAAGGTGGGATGGTGTGACATGACTACTGAAGACCATAGGGCTCTAAGCAGACCACATTTCTCTTACGAGCACGTGTGCCACTAACCAATTCAGAAGCACCCCAAAAGCTTCAGGTTTTGTCACATAATAGTATTTCCTGGAACGATAGCTTTTCTTTGTCCACCTCACTCCTGCAAAGCCAGCTGGCTCATGGCAGCACTGCGGTGAAGATACACCTTCCACACCCACGAATTGCTGAAGACTTGCATAGAAAATTACTCAGACAGGCTCCAGAGCTGAGCATAAATCTTTTGGCTCGCACTGTTGAAGCTTTAAGATACATGAGTGCTTCCATGTGGAACCACAAACACTCAGGCTGCGTGTTTAGATGTACTTTGTGTTTGCACTGCCCTCTGCAGCACAAAGCTCGATCCAGCCCTGTATTGCATAGAGCAGGTGGAGGTATCGTGCTGAGACTGTGCTTGGGGTGGCCCTCACTCAGTTGCCACTGATCATGGAAAGGTCTGTTTTTGTTGTGTAGGGGTAAACCTGAGTTGGTAACCGATACTGCTCAGCTGATGTGTGTGTCTGTGCCAGGCGAGCAGTCCATGAGCTGACAAATCTTTGACCATGGTACTAGCTCTTAATACTTTCAAAATAATAAAAAGGGGGGGGGCGAGGGGCAGCAGAGGATTTTTTTCAAGGGTCACATAAGTTGTACTGAAATTGAAAGCTCACTAAAAATATCTTTGTGGAAAGAATACGTTTTAGGAAATGATGATTCCTGTGACGAGAGCAATGTGAGCCTTTAGTTATGGCAAGCCTCCAGTGCTGTTCCTTGTCCCTGTTTTTGTGAGGTGTGGGTGAAAAGTGAACACAGGGAGAGTGAAAGCCATAACCAGAGGTTAAAATTTAATTTTAGCAACCATAGTTTTAAGTCAAATGATGCACCATTATTTATTTTCTTAGAAAATCCTGCAACTAAATTGATAGGCTGGAGTCTCTCATTATGCATGCAAGTGTTCTCAGGTTCTCCAGCTATTTGGGTGCAGTGGTGCAAAATTTCGTGTCGCTTCCTGTATGATTCAGCTTAAAATACTAGCTTAGGCAGGTGAGTACCTGAACAACAGTATTGCAGTCAGAGCACTCCTTAGTGCACACAAACCATTTCCTTTGGGTAAGTAATGCTGCGCTGTGAAAAAGCACACAACTTCTGGGACAGCAGCATTTGATAGTGTCTGTACCAGAATTCCCTGGGTTTGCTCTTTTCCTTGGTCTCTTTACCCAGACTTTTAGCTTTTCTTTACATTATCACTACCTGACTCTTTTCTACCACCTCATTATTTTTGGGGGGGTTTTTTGCTATTTCTTTTCCAAGTGCCTCTTCCTGAAAAACTGGCTACCACAGTGAGTATCACAGTTCCTGGACAAGTTTCCACTCATGGTTTCACTTTCTTTATTTTGTTATCTACATACAAAGTCCTAAGGATATAATTTAGTGGACTGCTAGTGAGTAGCTAACATTCATGTCTTGACTGTGGTCTGCATAGATCAGGTTTGCACAAGCCTCCTGCTTCATGAATTCACTTCCTGTAAGCAGGACTAGTGATAGCTCAATGTAGTCGAGACGAATCCCAGCATGAATAGAGAGCTGGAGTAAGATGTGGGGTTTTTTTCCTTACCAAGAGTACCAATATATTTTCCTCTTATGGAACTAATTCTTACATGCGGGGAGTTGTATGTTACCCCTGCACACGTAGCCAAATATAATTTTATATTTAATGGCAGAGTAGGTCTGCAAAAGAGAGAATTAGGTATTAAAATGTTCCACGTGTAATAGATGAAAAGCTAATCCCAGTTTCCTCCTGCTACCAATGAAATTGGCTGCTCTGCCATAAACTCTTGCTATGCTAATATGATTTACTGCTCCACTGTGATAATGGTGAATGTTGCTCTCTGGTGAGGACAATGTGGTGGCAGCTGTTTCAGAGTGATGAGCAGCGGCTTCGCTGTACATGCTCTGCTTTAGCGGATGTCAGCTAAAACAGCAGTTGCATCCCCCAAGAGTTAGACTGTTGCTGTTGTTACCCTTTGTAGAGAAACGCGAAGTACGGGCAGGTGCAATCCTCAGGTGAATTGGCAAGAGGGTGTTGCACAGCCAAGTGGGTACTGTGTCTCACCAGGGAGGAATGGCAGGGATCAGATTTACTAGCTCATATCACTGAGGTCCATTTGGCCTCTCTCAAATTCCTGCCCACTGAAAGCTCCTCTGACCTCTAGGGTAGATTGTGACTGGAGTAACTGCTTTCTCAGTGCTGCGTCCTGGAAAAAAGGAGGTGATGAAATGGAGTTTTAGTAGGCCCAATGAAAATAAATGGATTTTCTTTTCATTATAAATAATACATTTATACAGTAATTTATAAGTATTTTTGTAGTGTAAATACATTTATAAATACATATCTGGAAATTGTGCATATATGTATATAAAAGGTATATATTTAAATACATTTGTATACATTATTGTATAATAATTCATAATTTAACACTTCATAAAATATAAATGAGTCAGTTGGGAGAATCATGGAAAAGTAGAGTAGTTTTGTCTTGCTGACAGACTCCTGGGATAGAGAAGCTGTTTCCTCTTGAGCACAAATCAAACGTGAATATCTGGTCCCCAACAAATACAGTTTGTGTTAATTATTTTATTAAAATGTCCAATCACATCTGTCTTTTAAACTCTCATCCCTGAGAAGGTTGTTTGGTTGTGGATTAACCTTGTCATGAGTATTGAGGCATGTGACATGCTTGGCTATGGAACCAGGTATGTGTGGGGTCTCACAAGTTTCTGTCAACACTTGAGTGTTGTGGCTCTCTGAGATGGATAACATTGCTGCCATTCATTCTGAGTGGTGTTGCAGCTTCGTTTGCACGAGTTTGATGGTATCTCAGGTATCCCAGCCCTTTGCTATGGGCAGTTCTCCATTATCTGAAGGTAAGTTTAGGTACAAATCACTTCAGCCAAGATGCTGGATTTGGAAGATACTGGGTTAGGAAGATGCTTGCTTCATTCTGTGCTATGAGTACCACTCTTGGGTACTGTTGATGTACCAGTCTTATTCCTCCCAAAGGAAATGTGCTCCCTGAGCTTTCCCTCTGCTATGGTAGTGCTTTTATGTTTGCAGTTTCCAGGTAACGTTCACCTCTGTGCAATGCAAAGGGATGGCTACTCCAGTCTTCCCTGAATTTACTGCTCTGCAGTCAGTCACAGAGCAGGAAAAGCAAAGCATTATTTTGTTCGTGTCCACCATTGACAAATGGCATTTGGTTTTTGTCATCATTTTGTTTCTATCTAGGTGTGTGCCAACACACAGGTTTTCCATGCTTCCATTTTTTTTCTTTTTCTCTCTCCTTGTCACCCACACATAGTACATCACACTCAGTATTTAGTGTGAGAAGCCCTAGGATAATTATCATTTGTTAACTGTGTGAAGGTGGTGGTTCTGATGGCTGCAGAATTCCAGCTATTGCATCCCATCATTATTAAGAAGAAAAAAGAAAACCTGGAGGAAAGAGCCTTGCTTTCCTTCTTGAATCTTGGGGTGGTGGGGGGGAAGGAGAGGGGACAAATTAATAACACTTTAAAAGTAGACAAAAAGTGCTTTTCCTGTGCTGAGTTTCATATTTTTAACCTTTGCATTTTGAAATTTCAGAGTAGCACTTTCCGTTTCCTAAACTGATGACACCTGAGGAAAAACAGATCTTTACAGCCAATTGCCTCAAATACTGCAAAGACATAAGTGACATTTTGCACATGCCCTGTAAGTGCAGACCCAGTGTATTGCTGGGAACCAACCTGTCACAGCTAAAATACAATCATGCAAAAAGCCATCAGCAGGCTGAGCAAACCCAGCCCTTCTTACATGTTACTTCTACAGTGTTCTGTCTAAAAACTATTATCCTTTGGAAAACTAGCTGACACATTTTAACGAGGAGAATCAGAGTGCCTCTGTAGGGTTCCCCTAATTTTAATACATTCATAATCATAGAAAGATTATATTGGAAGCCATCTGTAGATAAATGTAACTTCCTGAGACAGCTTAAACTACTGAGCCATTTTCATATAGCCCATTTGTGACATCATCAGATATGTTCACATTTCTGAGGCCAAAATAAAAGGTGGCTTTGTGTTAGTTATTTAAAAGACACTAAAAATCATAAAAGGAGCCCTGATTTTAGATAAAGTGAGTGCATGCAGGTGGTTACACAAGTCAGTATTCAGGCAGTGTTTGTGGTTTCTTAGCTCACCAGTTTTATCTACAGAGCAGCAAAGAGAACATGGATTGTGTTAGCAATCTTCTCCCATGTGGCAGACACTCGTAGGCCATGGCTGTAAGTTGGAACCTGGGCTGGATACAGCTGTGAGAGGACTGAGGGAATGGCAGAACCCATAACACTAATGGGCACAGAGAGGGTGTCCCTCGACCTTCTATCTCCCGAGCTCCCCACCAGTCGCGTCACACCTCTGAAGTCTTCAGTGTAGCCAAATACTACGTGGCACTGCAAAATGCACGTCAGAGATGTGGATCTCTGCTGGTTCTGACACTGGAGAGGCAGCTGTAGCTGTTGGCAGACTGTACTGGTGAGTCTCCGCCAGCAGAGGGTGGTTTTAAGACCGTTTATGTATTGCTTTAATGTTTAAACACTGTATGGGCTGAATATTGAGCGTGATGACCTTACTACTTCCTTTGTTTCTTAATACTTCATCTTTAGTAATTGTTAAGAAGAATCTAGAAAAGATTTTTCTCATTTTTTTCTGTTGTTTTTGTTTGTTTGTTTGTTTTCCTCTGGCATCATTCTTCCAGGTAAGAATAACCAAAAATAACTAAATTTAGGAAGACAGGTTTGAAATAATGTTGGTGATGATTTAGAACTACTTTAGCCTAGGACCAAAGTACTTGAAATAAATAATCGAATAAGTTGTCGGTGTTCTAGCATTTATTAGGGATTGAAACATAAGCCACTAACAGTGAATGGAAGTCATCTCGCTGAACTTCAGACACCCAGCAGGTGCCTCATCTCAGTGTGGGCTTTCCTTGCACTCTGCGGAGAGGACTGCACACATATCAAGGTTGATTTCAACACCTCTTATGCTAATTCAAGAGTCTTAAGTTTACAGAACACAAGCTAGCAGAAGCCTGATCCCAAACAGCATTTGTGCCTGTATTATTATCATGTGGAGTCACACTATGCGCGACAGTTAATGACTAGATAGTTAATTATAGGAGTAACTTACACAGGAATGGGCTCAATTCTTGCGCCTGCGTTGCAGGGAGGCAAATTTGTCTCTTGAGATGTCTTTTCCTTTCTGTTGACTACAGAGGGAGCAGAGGTTAGAACAACTCAACATTAGACATCTGACCTACACATCTAGCTGGGGTACATCTCACCCGCTGTGCTTGCAGGCTGCTGCTACTACCATTGGGTAGTACTCTGCCTCCTCTTTGAAGGTCTGTACACACTTAATAGATTTTATGGATCTGATTTCACATCCAAGGGAATAAAGTGTGACAGTTAAAGCCATGTAACTAGTAGATAGTCATTAACTTTTCTGAAATCAGTAGAATTCCCCATGGGACCAATTGCACATGTATAAGTAGTTCAGACTGTCGTTGACTGGAGACCTGTTGGGAAGCTGTACATAATAAAAGGTAGTAGTAAATGATGATGGAAAATGCATCATGTTCTAATATATAGTGATTTATATTCTGAATTAGATGTTCTGTTGAAAATTTTCCTACACATTTTTAAGTAGTTTTAAAAGGTTTGAACAAAAATTCAACAATTTCTGTCCTTGATTTCCATTTATTTACCACTTGGAAAATATTTTCAAAATGGAATTCCTATCTAAAGGTCTTTAATTAAAAAAAAAAAAATCTGAGTACCAGCAATCTTTTGAACTATTTTGAACTATTGCAGAAGTATAGCGCAGATGAGGCCTTAGTATTTCCTAGAGTAGGTAAAATTCCTCTCTGTTTGCAGAAATAGAGCAACCTAGTGACCAACTCCAGCAAAAGATCAAAGAGGCATCTTCCCACTGGCTACAAACTGCAGATAACATCTTGTTTTCCCTTCCACAAAACACAGGCAATATCAAACATTAATAGGATTCACATCTTCCTCCTCTGCAGGGATTAAGCTTTATGAACCTGTTTCCAAAGCCACATGCAAGAAGTGTGTTTGGTGTATTTAAAGACAGAAATGCCTCAACAATTATTAAGGGATTAGAGGAAAAGGTTCAGGAGGATAAAAGAAGGTTATTGCAAACACAAGGGTGTATGCATGACACCATCATACTCTGTGGCTCTTCCAGAAGTTTCCAGTCTACAACAGACTGTAGAGAGCCTTTTGCAGGATTTAATGTGCCCAGTACTTGTGCTCTGCTTAAGGTTAATAACATGGAAAATCTTATGATTCCTTGCTGTAATGACCTGTTTGTATACAGATAGGCTTTCAACTTATGGAAATGCCCCATGGTTTATGAAATAGCCTCTTCCTGTTTGCAATGATGCAGTGCAATATTGAGTCATCTCTAACCTTTTACCCTTCCCTGTACAAACTCTTTGTTGTTTGTGACCTGGCCCTTGAGATTTGGACTGATGGTACCAGACAGCAGTTTTTACTTGAACTAGTCCCAGTTTTACCAGCTTTGGATGAATTATTGCACTTTCCTAGGAAAAAGGTTTGATCTACATCACTGCTGATTTGAATTGTAACAAATTGCTAAAAAATTACCTGTGTGTAGTTTGGGTTGAAATAATGAATTCTTGATTTTAGGGATTAATTGCATTTCCTATATGCACCTTACTCTCCTTCCATATAGTAATGAGTCCAGGGGCCAAGTAGTTCTGGATGCAGATGGAAAGTACATACTGCAGTGTTCCACCAGATTATATTTTCCTGTCTTTTGGAGAAAGCCCCTAATGCCAGTGAAATCTCAGCAATATGACACCTGACCCTTCAAGGGATGAAATAGAGTAAGTGAAAACATAAGATCTTTCGTCAGGTTTGCACAGTTGGGTATTTTATCCTTTCTCTACAGCATATAGCAGGGGGTTAGGTAAAGCAGGCTGGATGGTCCTTCTAATTCATGGGGGGTTAGTTTAGTTTGACTCTGAAAACATATCTTGGCTGAAGAGCTGCATTTCTAATGGCTGTGCAGTGTGCTGGGTGTCCTGCCAAATAGCTGGGGACTGCAGCACTATGTTGTTAATTCCTTTCTGCCAGTGAGACATTCCTGTTCATCTCTTGGACAGTGTCATTAGTCACTTATTGGTCTTGCCTGTTGCTGGACACAGCTGATATGGTGTGAACTCAGGCATAGTGTGCATGCGAGTAGCCATCGTGCCTTCCTAGAACCAACTCAATTTAGCTATTATCCTATAAAGAAAGAGAAAAGAACATTGAACAAGCCAAATTACATTGGTGGGGTAAAAGCTTTGAAATGCAATGACTTTAGATACTGACAACTGACAGTTGCTTCATCAAGGCATAGAATTTTTCAAAGTATTTGACAAGGAAAATACAGATGCAACATGATGAATTTTCTTGTGGAATATTTTAATGGATATGCTCAGCTTTCCCAGTGGGATCTTACTTTCTTAGAGCAGAGATTAGTCACCATTTACTTGATTTGTCTGAACTTTCTGCCAAAATCAACAAGGCAGGACTTGACAGGACAGACTTTAGAAACAAGGACGTTGTGACATGTTTGAAGAGAACGCATGCTCAGAGGAGGGTCTAATTCTGTTTCAAAAAGCAGCTTCTTATCAGCAAAACAAGCTCTACTCTTTCCTGTATGTGTCTTGTCTCTGCCTTGCAGCAATGCTGAGAAGAGGTTTCATCTTGTGGGAAGCCAAGGGAAAGCAATTTACTAAAGGCAGAACAACTTTGCTCATGCTATTGCAACTCCAGTCATTCTATTGAATTCAGCTAAGACAAGCACTAAAACCAGCTGTGACTGTAAGGATTTGAAGTCTTTGCAGTTACTACAGGGTCTGTTCTTCTGAATCAACACATCCTCCAGCTTCTATGACAAAGGGAAGAAGTACATACTGTACAGCAGCACAGGAAAATACTACCCTGCTCTGTGGTCATGGGTGACATGGGGGAAGACATGTCAGTCTCCCAAGGCAAGTCAATAGGGCAAAACTTCAGTCATTGAAAAATGCCATTTTTTAATACACAAAAATCAAACTTTGCAACGGAGATGAGGCAGTGCACAGAGCAGTTGTATCTTTCAGAAATCTAACTGAACACAAGTAGCCAGGAGTCCATGTACTAACTTAAAGCAGCAACGATACCACTTCTCTCTCCATTCTTCTCCTCGCTCTTCCCTGAAACTCTGCAACCAAAACTGACAGCACACCACGTCTTCCCAAGCCTCAGTATTCACTCACACATAGAGGAGAACATGGGAGGCTTTTTAAAATCCCCCTGACAACTGGTACAAGAAAACTGTTTAACTATTAGTGGAATGTCCTCTCATAAAATGCCAAACAGTCTTGTGCTTTTCAGGTCAAAAGCTAACAAGATGAACTGTGAGCTCTTATTACTTTTCTGTTCATCCACAGTAAAAATATAGAGTGCTTTAAAAATGTTGAGAACATGACAGTGATTGACAAGAAAAGAAGGCATGTAAGGAGATACTGTGCTGAAGAAATTTTAATTATTTTAACTATTTTTGTAAAACAAAATTCATACTGATAGAGGTTTTTGCATTTGCAGTGTCAGCCAGGAGCCGGGGCTGTTTTCTCAACCAAGACCCTTACACACTCTGCCTTGCACCCTTATGAAAGAACACCTAATTTGGTAAAATCCCAGAGTGACTTTAAGGAGAAAGAGCCTAACAAATTAAACAGCTGCTTGAACCACTTATGTTTTAACTTTTTCTCAGTGAAAGCATGTCTTAATTTTAGTGCATCCAGTGCATGTGTGAAGCTGTTTTCCATAATTTTTATTATTGGAGTTCATATGAGTTTTATAACAGCTGGTAGCTGATTTCTGATCTCACATAAAGTAACAATGACACACAGAGAGCGGTAGATGTAATCACATTAAGTGTGTCAATAAGAAATTAGCAAAATTTTAAAGAAATTTTAACTGACAGCACGAGTGAAGGTTGATCTAGACCTTGGGTAGCGGGTTATGGTCTGATACTAAGGGCCCTAGTATTGGATTTATTGTATCATTAAGCCATGGTCAGAGAGGAGGAGAGTGAACTGTCTTTTACAGTTTTTAAAAACAAAAGCACTCTGCCACTGCTACATTCCTCAGTGAAAAAGCCAGTGCTATTTGAAAATTGCTGTTGGAGATGATTCAACCATCATCTGTCTGCATGTTAAATCTTCAAAATACTCTGTGTAACTGCATAGAGATGGCAAAGAACAACATAAAACATGTACTAACGTGGAGATTTAAAGATATCACACAAGCATTTGTTTAACTGCATTTGTTGAACTGAGTGTGGGTACAGTTCTTGTCTGCTTGGATCATTTAGCTGGCCAAAGACCAAAATATACACTTAATATTCCACAGCCACCTATGCCCAGTAATGACAGAGTCCTCCAGTGACATGTTAACTGTGTCAATGAAATATTAGCTAAATAGTAGCTGAGTTTTTCAGGTTATAAGAAAACTAGACCTTCATTTCATTCCAAGATAAGCTTAAAAAAAATTACTTTTTTCATTATGTGATCTGGTTATCTGCTGTGGTAACTTGGTGACCAGATAATCTGAATCTGCTAATTTATTGATTTAACTGAAAATGGAGCTGAAATCATATAAAATATAGATCATTGCTTTGTTTTTAATCAGTCTGGTGAAATTTTAAGTAAATTAGGCAAATGTGCTTTGTGAGATTCATGCGTGTGCATTCACCCTTCTTATGCAACCCACACATGGGACACAAGATGTATTTACTTCATCAGACCACAACCTGGGTCACAATCTGTGAGGGCATACAGCTCTGGGGTGAAATCACCAGCCTCTTGCATCCATCTCCAAAGTGACTGCCTACACCCTGTACATTACACAGGCTCTAGCATCCCCAATAAAGTGACCACAATAGATACTTATCTTCCAGTACTGAGAATGTAGCTGTTTATAGATCACAAATATGCTTATGTGCTATGGATTTGCTAGCATGCCTTCATTTACCTGCGTAAGGCAACACAAGACATAAAACTGCCAAATATATTCTCCTCTAATGAACATCTACCTAGATACACAGCAGGTTTGAAACAGGACAAAGGAAGCAATTACAGAGCATCCAACCAACTGCTGCAGGGCAAAGCAGCTGCAGCCATAGGGCCTCCTGCAACTTGCAGGGGTAGTACCCGCTCTCTTCATGTTTACTATCTATTCTGTCCCCTGGAATATGGTTTATAATAAAACATATAGGGTGTTGTTTTGGTGCCAGGGAAGATGCTGCCTCTGTCTTGAAGATGCTGCAGCCATGGCTGGACCCTTGGAAAGGGTGCAACATACTTTTCTTTGATGCAGTTAAGCATCATGAAACATGGGTGAAACATCTTAAAGATAGGATGGGACAGAGAGAAGTATTTGAAAGAAAGAACCTGCCCTGCAAGGAGTTAATTTAGAAACTTTCTGTTCTGCCTAACTTGAAGTGTTCTCTATAGTTGGGGTTTTTTTTGGTGGTTTTTGTTTGTTTTAAGTATTCCTTTATGTTTAACAAAATCTGATTTCTGAAGTTAAGAGCTTTGTGTTTTGCAACAATTATTTCGAGGGAAAACTGGAAGTAAGTCCACCTCAAAGATCTGCTGACTCAGCTGTTAATGTAATTATAAATGTTTATTACCTCTGAAATGAGGATGTGCCTGCCTTTAGGTGTCTTGCAGGATTATAATGTGAATTCCTTAGTTAATTGCTGAAGACAGCTGTTCCTCTGCCCTATGCTTGGTGCACTGATTTGCACACTTACAAGACAAAAGCAAATTGCAGAACAGAGAGATTTGAATGTAAACCCATCGCTAAACTTTGGCCTGGAAGCATCAAGTTGTTCTTCTGATCATTCACATTTACAGAAGGTGAGTACAGAGGTAAGGAGCAATAAAAGGGCAAGGCAAATGAGAAGGACTCTAAAGCACCTCAGCAGAGCTAACCTGTTGGGCTAATTAGTCACTGTGATTTTCACCCTTTTAAATGCTTGTATCTTTGCACAATTTGCAGCATGGAGCCCTTTCTAACAGATGCAGAGCTTCAACAAAGCATATTTGCTGCTCCTCTACCTGTTCATGACCTAGTGCATGCATTTTGCAGTGTTTCACATAATGTGGGTGAAACAAATAGGTACCTTTATACTTCCTTGTACCTGTGATGGAACCAGTGAGAGGGAAAAGGCAAAAGAAGAAGCCAGAATTTCTGCTATCAGGAAGAAAATGCAGATAGAGAGAATCTAAAAATATTTTATTTGAGCAACCTATTAATGTGCCTGCTTGCTTCTGAGTTCTGCTGCAGCTTACCAGCTCACCAATACATATATATTCTGCTTATCTGCTGTATTTACTTGGTGACTGGATAATTTAAACCTGCAAATTTATTGACTTAACTGAAATTGCAGCCTAAATCATATAAAATACAAAGGAGATATATATATATATATATTTGGATTATCATGGGTCAGTTTTATTATGGGGCTAGGTTCTCTCTCCTTTCACAGAATTGAATTTTAAAGCATTAGACACAGAAATACATGACTTTTACTCTTTGTCTGTGTATGTTTAAAATTATGTCAAGATACCCAAACATGGTATTGTCATATATAAAGCCAGCTCAAAGCAAGAACTGGCTGTGACCAGGCCAGTAACATGTCCCAATTCTATCTCACTTGGTCCATCTCCAAGTGCTGATTCTCACAGTATATCCCAATATACCAGAGAACAGTTTGCTAGTTCATTATGGATTGTTTATGATCAATAATATTTACTGTATGTACATTTTGAACTAACACAGTGCTGCAAGCAGACAGGGACATTAGGCAGCTATATGTTCCTATACTATGCAGATAAACTGTAGTTGGAGCTATTTTCCTACTAGCAACTCAGGCAAATGGATTGTAAAAGCACTTGGGTATTAGCATGGGACTTTTATGATGGTTGTGGAAAAGAACATTCTGAATACTTCTGTAATCATTCCCATTTAGGTCAGCCAGTGAGTTGTTTTACGGTAGTGTCTATGGAGTCCTCAAAAAGATTGAACTTAGTTTGGCATTTACTGAGGGAAAGGCAAGGGCTTTAGGCACCACCAGTATGGAAGAAGTCATCATGCTCATATCAGATTGTCTTCCAGCTTGGGGAACAGGCTGTCAGGCACAGATCTGCTGTAGGGCACCTCTTTCGAGGCCACATTCTCTGTGCCTTCCATGTCCCCCACACCAGTGTGCCACTATTGTACTGATGTGACTGATGAGCAGGGTCTACTCAGACCATCAATGAAAGAAGTGCTGATTCATGAGGACCTTGTGCAGGACCCCTTGGGCAGGGTCTGCAGGGGTGCCATGGCTTTACGTGGCCCTTCCCACCCACCCTCAGCCACTTCCCACCTCCTCAAAACTTTTGCAGCACAGCCAAGAGAGCTTTCCTCTTCAGTATACTGAAGTGATTACTCTGCTATAACAAAAATAGGATTTTTTTTCCAGGAACTGTAGCTAAAGGCACATGTATGCAACTGTGAAGCCTTGGAGATCCTCTGGAGATGGATGCAGGCAGGGCAATCCAGCTTGGAAGTCCCCAAGAGCAGCACAACAAGTGTATAATCATTTTGTCCTTCTACTTATTCTGGCCTTGTATAAGATGAAGCTGTGTGTCATATACTTAATATTAAATGGACTGAAAAGGTCACTTGTTTCTCTTTAATTCTTTTAATCTTCTTATAAGATACAAAATAGGCTTAAGTCAAAAACTGTTCCTTAATGTAAAGGGTTGAGGGGGGTTGTTGCTCACTTGGCATTTTGTGAGGATGACAGCTGTCCCTTAGAAACACTGGGTTTGCCAAGCACTGATACTACTCCCCTGATCAGGTTTATGCCTCCTTGCTCAATATCCATAAAGATTTCTAGGAGACAATAACAATCATAGCAGTAGGAAGAGTCAGAACATAGTTAAACCTCCCAGCCCACACACAGTAACAGGAAAATCCTGTTTGAAGAATCAGGGAATAGCCTATTCTGGATAACAAGGGGTAATGTGCTGATAATGCTGCAGTCCCCCCACCCTCTGTGTGGTTACTCCAGAAGCAGAGTCCAGCCCACTGAGATTTAACATTTTTTTATATTATTTCATATAGGACACCTCTACAGGGTGGGATAAGGAGAGAAGGGTTTCTTGAAAGTGCTTCTGCAGTTTAGGTAGCAACAATGTTATTTCATGAACATACAAACTCAGGTCACTGCAAGAATAATTTGTTTTCTGATCCATGCCTGGGTTTTCTTGTGCACGCTGAAACCTAGAGAAGGAAGAGATGTGTTGGTAGGGAGATGCATAGCAGTGCAACCCACCCAGCATGGGAGTGGGAAAAGAGAGGGTGTCTGTTTTGCTTCCTACTCAGGGTCCCATGAGTGTTAATGTTGCTGGAACCACAGCTGTGTTAAGTGAGGGTTAAAACACCATCCTGAGACCAGATTTGCTCTTCTCAAGAGAAATGCTGGAAACCTTTTGCAATACAATACAGACAGAAAGATTTTTCATCACAATACTAAGCTGTTGTTGGGCTAGTAGTGTAGGCTGAACCCTAAAATTTGACACTTTGAGGCAATGAGAGGAGATTTTTAGCCAAGAATCACAATATTTCTTCCCAGAAAAATGCCCCAAGGAGCAGTAACCAAATTCAATTCACAAGCTTCCTTCTAATCTAAACTAAGAGCTAGAAAGAAAGACACCTCTTACCTTATCTACTGACTTAGGGGAAAACTACTTTATACCTCACTGCCAAACCATGCATTTTCTGATGGATAGGGTTCTTCTGATGAAAGAGAATCTGAGCTTTGCTTTTAATAAAAAAAAAAAACAAACCACACAAACACAAACAAACAAACAAACAAAAAAGAAAAACCCAAAACAAATGTATATTTCTTAAAATACCTTGTATATTTTTTCCATTATTTAATGTCTTTGTGGTGTTTTTATTCCCCATGATAGGTAACAAAGACATTAGCAATTGGCAACATCAATTTATCTGAAAAAAATCTTATCAAACCAATAGAAATCATTGTACGGGTAAGTAGATTCTTGAAGAGGAAAAAAGCACTGAAAATGTCTACTTCAGTAGGGCTTTTGTCTCACTTAACAGTCCCATAAGCCAAGCAGCTGCAATTTCTACAGGGGTGCAAAACTGGTTGTGTAACTCTCCTCAGAAAACATTTATCAGTGATTCACTATCAGAACAGAGTGATGTGCACCTGCAGGCACCCATCTCAGGTCTGCTTCCATGAAGACATCAGGGAACTGTTCTTCTTCAGAGCTTGGTGTTTAAATTCCCTTTCCCCCCCTCATTGATTTTTACAGTGGTAGTGCAAAGATCAGATGCTTCTCTTGTTAGTCAGGTCTGCATGCACTGTGAGCATGCAGTAGTGCAGGCTATAAATTCATTATGTAAATCGATTCCAGCATTTCTAGTGGATTCATTTAAGGTGTGCTACTCTAATATCGTCAATAAGAAGTAGGATTTGAAGGGTTTGGTCTTTGTAACTAACAAATTAAAGGCCAGGCATCTTCAGTTCCTTCAATTTGGAGCAGATAAAAGGTTATTTGTAAGCATTTGGAAAACAACAAGGAAATGAGTAGCAGCTACCATGAATGCATCAGGTAGAAATTATATCTGGCAGAAATCGCAATCAAATTTCTTTCTACAATAGGCTAACAAGACTCATGAGCAAAAAGCTGTAGATATAATTAGATATGTGGACTAAAGTGAAATTTTTGTCTTGTGGTGCATTTTCATAAACAAACTAGCTAAAACCCCTACAGGGTCAGCGCAAATCTGGTTTCATATATTTTCACCACAGAAAGGTGGCTACATGTTTTTATCCTAGTTTTTTTCAAAGTTTTTCTAACAATGCACACGGTGAAATAGAAAATACATGTGTGAAATTTGCTGATAGTGCAAAAGGGGGGAGATTGCGGTTATAATGGAGGATGGGATTAAAATTCGAAATAAACTTGACAAGCAGAGCGACATTTTGAGGACTGAAATGCAATGGAGAGCAGCACAAAGTCGTGAATGATTGGGCACACAGAAACCAGGGGAGAAAGAGCTGGTGAGCAGTTGGTTTTCCCAAAAGGATCAGAACACACCTTCTACCACCTGTCATGCTTTGCAACTGTTGCCTGTGGCAGAAATATCAGTTGCATGGATACATCTGGATTAGGTCTTTACTCTGATGTGGATCCATTTGCTGTCATTATTTGGAGCAGAAACCACAACCAGAAGTCTAGAGCTTTCCAGTCTCTTTATAGTTTATTCCACAGAACTGGCAGGCTAGAAGTATTTCTAAAAAGGGACCTAGGAAAAGTAGATACGTTCTCCCACACCAACTTCAAAACATTTAGTAAGTGGATACAATGCACAGAAGCATCAAAAACCCCAGAATGTCCTGCAATCACAAACAGCTGTGATGAGAAAAGGAAAGGCAGGAGGGGCTGTTAATTCAGATAGCAGCTCCCAGCACAATGATCTGGCATCTACAATCTCCAACACAAGCAGGTGACCACTAAAGAAAGACACATGACATGTTGTTGTGGTTCAGACCCAGAAGGCAACTAAGCCCCACACAGCCGCAGCTGCTCTCTTACGTTCCTACCCCAGTGGTAATCCGGAGGGTAAAAGTGAGAAAACTCGTGGGTTGGAATACAGACAGTTTAATAGGTAAAGTAAAAGCTGTGCATGCAAGCAAATCAAAACAAGGAATTCATTCCCCACTTCCCATGAGCAGGCAGGTGTTCAGCCATTCCCAGGAGAGCAGGGCTCTATCACGTGTAATGGTGACTTGGGAAGACAAATGCCGTCACTCCAAACATCCCCTCCTTCCTTCCTTCTTCTCCCAGCTCCATATGCTGAGCATGACACCATATGGTCTGGAATATCCCTTGGGACAGTTGGAGTCAGGTGTCCTGGCTGTGTCTCCTCCCTGTGCACCCCCAGCCCACTTGCTGGTGGGGTGGGGTGAGGAGCAGGAAAGGCCTTGACTCTGTAAGCACTACTCAGCAGTAAGGAAACCATGCCTGTGTTACCAGCACTGTTTCCAGTACAAATCCAAAACACAGTCCCATACCAGCCACTGTGAAGAAAATTAACTCTACACCTGCACAAACCAGCACACATGTAAGTGCTAAAGGACTTCTTATCAGGCCACACTGTAACAGAAAGAAAAGGTCAGTCTATGACTGAGGCTAGGCTAGCTGCAGTCACACTGAACACTAATACAACCTAAATATTATTTAATTACATGGAATTTACTCACAAAATTCTTGGGCAATTCGCTTGCTAAAGGTGAATGAGACCTTGGCTCATCCAAACACTGCTGCAGACTCCCATCTTCCAATATTAATTGACATTTATCCCATACTTATTGACATCCATCCTATTTTTTTGACATTCATCCCATATTCATTGAAAATAGTTGTAAAAGGGGATGTTGTTGTTGCAGAAGGAAGAGTTGAACTCCCAGAACTGAACAGCAGAAGCATAGTTGAGAAGGAGATGGATTAAATACTGGATGGACAGTTTGCATAGGTGGGAAAAGTGAGAAGGGTGTACAACTTGCATGGAGGGAATCCTCTTGAATTTGTATGTAGAAGTATTACAGTAGTCACACCAAGTTTTAATGAGCAGTTCCAGCACCCTGCATAAACAGAGCCTAAATGTTGTAGGTCCTTCACTGTTATGGTTACCCAGTGGCATCTGTGCCAATGGCTGTCCGTGGGTAGGGACAGCCAGACAAATCTGAAACACCAGGGAATCCTTTCCAGGTTAATTCGGTGGTGTTACGTGACTGTGTGCTTTATCAGTAAGAAAGCCAGCTGCCTCTTTGGCTGCTGTACTGCACTGAGGGATAACTGGGGGAGTGTGATGTGATGTGATAGGAGCAGGTTTAGTTAAATGAAGAGTCTTTTCCATTATCTCTCTGAAAAACAGTTGACAGTCTTGCTGGTGTTGCCCCTCTCAAAAAAAAAAAATTAGGCTCTGAAGCAAAATGTTTCCAAAACATAATATATACTTTCTAACATGCCTTTAACTCTCTAGATATTAGTTCTAACTAATCACAGCTGCTTTCCTTTGAGCTGCCAGCTTGCTTGTAGGGAAGGCAGAGAGAGCTGGCCAGTAAAAATGTGAATTATTTATGTTCCTGCTGAAAGCATGAGTCTTGTCACTAGAGCCTTGCTTGATTGAATGGATCTGTAGAGACAGTTTCTGTAGCAACCCAGAACCTTGCCCAGCAAAATGTCATCCAGTCACAGCTAGCAGAGAATGGTAATAAATATCTGTCTGGGTAGCTGAGAACGACACAGAAGTGCCAGAATAAAATATTATCTGGGTTTTGAGTCCTCCAGTCTCCCAAGACCCACCAAGATGTCATTTCAGAAGGTGAGCTGGTAGCATGTCAACCCAGGTACCCATAACAATTTAGCTGTGACAACATGAGGTTTCAAAAGATTACGCAAATCTTCATGGGAACTCAGCAAGTCTTTAGAACCAGGACACTGCTGCAGTCAGGCTCTTACTGGTAACCCGGTTCTTTAGAATCAATATAAATAAGGATGTGGTTCACAAAAGCTCACTGTCACATCTTTGGGTGCTATATCCACATACCAAATGCTAGGTTTGATAACACTATCCA